ACATTAAACAAAAAGAGAATAGCACCTAAGAGAATAGCATTTTAATCTAATCCACCTGATTAAATGAGTCTATAGAAGCTTCAATAAAATCAGCTGTTTTTTCTTTTTGGAGGTCATTTAAATTTTTGTTGCTTTTGCTGCAACAGACTAACCTGGCTATTGCTCTTGGAAATCATTCCCTTTTGGCTGAAAGTCTGCAAAACTAGAAAGTCACAATCAACATTCATTCTGTCGGTGGGTTGTGATGCTGGAGGAGAACCTCACTGATCAGTGAATGCAACTGTGGCTGGAAGAAACGCATGGTCAGCACATGGATGGAGAACACAAGATGATTAGTCTATTGGATAAAAGTGAATATCTTCTCCCATAAGGTCATGATTACGTACCATTGAAGCTGTCGGTTGTGTATGTTGTTCCAAAATGGTTCTGCATTTTCTGTATAACTTTAATAAGATTTCTCCTCTTGCCATGTAGCAGAGCTGGGATGTTTTCCTTTGGGAAAACAATACCTTCTAGTATCTCTAGACAGAGTGGATGGGGGCTTCTGGATGTTAGGTAAAGGTAAAGGTTTCCCCTTGACATTACCTCTAGTCGAGTCTGACTCTGGGAGGTGGTGCTCATCTCCATTTCTAAGCCAAAGAGCCAGCATTGTCCGTAGACACCTCCAAGCTCATGTGGCCGGTGTGAGAGAATTGGCCATCTGCAAGGACATTGCCCAGGGGATGCCTGGATGTTTTGCTGTTTTACCATCCTTGTGGGAGGCTTCTCTCATGTCCCTGCATGTGGAACTGGAGCTGACAGAGGGAGCTCATCCGTGCTCTCCCCGGATTTGAACCTGTGACTTGTCCGTCTTCAGTCCTGCCGGCACAAGGGTTTAACCCATTGCGCCACCAGGGGCTCCATGTTGTTACATAGTGATATCCCTAGAGTTAGATATCACTATGTAACAACATGGAGCCCCTAAGCACAGTGATATCTAACTCTAGGGATATCACTATGTAACAACATGGAGCCCCTAAACTGAGTATGAGAACAATTCACAGATGAAAACTGGGATGTGTGGCTAACAAACTACAAAGTGTGGTCAAGATGACAACAGTTATATCCTGTATCTCAGCAACTGCATCTGATAAGTGAAAACTGGTGCCGTTTTTGGAATCAGGCTTTTAAAAATGAAGGTGTTTCAAGATCTAGTCAGAGGGTGCTGTGATTTTTAACTTTGAATATGTTTTTAATGGATTTTAACAGAATTCTTAAGTGCTGTTTGCTTATTTCTGTTTTAATGTTTGTATATCTGTATATTTTAAATTGTATACTAATGCTTTTATGTCAAGCTGTTTTGAGTCCCCTTTGGGGAGATAAATCAGGGTATAAATAAATATTATTAATGAGGAAGATCATGTTGTGGTGAGGGGGCTTGTGTGTTCCAATGAACCTGCTGGCACAACGACTGGAGTGGTGCACTCCCAGGAGTGGCCGCGGGGGAGATTCCAGACCAAGCACAGTCCGAAGACCCAAAGACCTCAACGGCGGAGCAGGTGGATGATAACATGGTACATGTTACAATGGCTGTGAAGGCGGAAGAAGGCTGCAACAGATTGAGAAGCCACGGTGATCTTGGTAAATTATGCCACCMGAGGAACCTCAGTCTGTGAAGACTGCGTGTTGATCAGTGTGCACTGACCTCCACACATTAAAAAAWTTCACRCAAAGGCGTCTTCCGCWACTTTGGCAGCCACTCTCCACAAAAGTCAACATTGACACTGAAATTCAACACCGCCTGAGCTCTGCGAGTGCAGCATTTTTCCAAATGAAGCAGAGTGTTTGAGAACCGGGACATCCGTAGGGATACCAAGGTGCTTGTTTATAAAGCTATTGTCCTCCCAACCCTGCTATAGGCCTGTGAGATGTGGACTGTCTACAGAYGTCACATGCAACTCCTGGAACGATTCCATCAGCACTGCCTCCGGAAAATMCTGCAAATCTCTTGGAAAGACAAGCAGACAAATGTCAGCATGCTGGAAGAAGCAAAGACCACCATCACTGAAGCGATGTCCTCCGCCATCAACTCCGCTGGATCGGCCACGTTGTCCGGATGCCTGACCACCATCTCCCAAAGTTGCTCTATTCCGAACTCAAGAATGGAAAACTGAATGTTGGTGGGCAGGAAAAGAGATTTAAAGATTGGGCTCAAATCCAACCTTAAAAATTCTGGCATAGACACTGAGAACTTGGAAGCCCTGGTCCTTGACCGCTCCAGTTGGTAGTCAGCTGTGACCAGCAGTGCTGCAGAATTTGAAGAGGCGCGAATGGAGGGCGAAAGAGAGAAATGTGCCAAAAGGAAGGCGCGTCACGCCAACCCCGACTGGGACCGCCTTCCACCTGGAAAGCGATGCCCTCACTGCGGGGGAAGATGCAGATCAAGAATAGGGCTCCACAGTCATCTATGGACACACCGCCAGGATACCACTCTTGGGGGACCATCATCCTCAGACTACAATGGATCACCTAAGTTTGTACAGGTAACAAAAGTTGTAACAGTCTCCATTTGGCTGAATTTGCTGGGAAAGGCAAGATTCTGCATGTTATCTTCTCTGGGCTTCCTGGGTTATTTGAATACAAACTGCTTTTGCATTTGAAGCAATTAAAGTAACAGAAAACAGAAAGTGGGCAGATGAGAGGCATGTTTAAAGCAGCTAAGGAAGTGTGAAGGGGGGGGGGAGTCCTGGATTCCACTCCCCCTTCACTTGTGGCCTGAAGCTGGCACTTTGAATCAAGACACTCCCCCACTCGGACTCCTCTCAAAATGTGTTTTTTGAATTTTTTTAAAACATTCATCCAAGATGATTGTGAGATGCACAAACCCTCAGAAATTGGCTGACTGCTACTAGTAGTGGAAAACATACAGAATCTCCCAATTTTATGTAATAGTTTGTGCTGCCTTATTTATTTATTCATGTGCTTTTTGTTATTTGTGTTTTGAACCACAACACTTAAAATTTGCAATCTAAATATTGTTTTGTTGGAAGGTCCCTGGTCTCATCTGACCTCTGAAGCTTAGCAGAGTCAGTCCTGGTTAGGACTTGGTTGGGAGACCACCAGGGAATACCAGATGATGTAAAGCTATACTTCAGAGGAAGGAAATGGCAGATCCACTTCTGAGGATTCCTTGCCTAAGGGCCCTTATCCCAGAATATCAAGATGGAAAATCCCACAATATCTGCTGGGTTATCTGAGTCCATACTCAGATAATGTGGGATTTCCTGCCTTGATATTCTGGGATATTGGGCTGTGTTGAAGGGCCCCCATAAAGCAAATCAACAGGAGACTTGGAAGATGCACACACACAAGCCCAAAAAGACTATCAAGAGCCTCGCCAAGGCCCTGAAGCCGAAAGCCAAGCTCAAGACCACCAAGCCTAAACTCGCTCCCAAAAATAAGTGAACTCCATACTCTTTGCAAAAGGGTTCACCTTTTTATCACATGGTTTTCATGTGTATTTTTAATAACACCTTCATGCCTTCTATCTATGGCTGGATGGCTCATTGTTAGGAGGGCTTTGTTTACATTTCCTTGCCCTGGTGAAGAAAGTTGGACTGGATAGCCTTAAGTATTTTCTGTTGGTCATGGGGGATCTGTGTGGGAAATTTGCCCCAATTCTGTCATTTGTGGGGTTCAGAATGCTCTTTGATTGTAGGTGAACTATAAATCCCAGTAACCACAACTCCCAAATGTCAAGGTCTATTTCCCCCAAACTCCATCTGTGTTCATATTTGGGCATATGGATTATTCGTGCCAAGTTTGGTCCAGATCCATCATTGTTTGAGTCCACAGTGCTCTCTATGGATGTAGGTGAACTACAACTCCAAAACTCAAGGTCAATGCCCACCAAACCCTTCTAGTGTTTTCTGTTGGTCATGGGAGTTCTGTGCCAGTTTGGTTCAATTCCATCATTGGTGGAGTTCAGAATGCTCTTTGATTGTAGGTGAACTATAAATCCCAGGAACTACAACTCCCAAATGACAAAATAAAAAAAAATTGAGTGAAGGACATACATTGGGTTGTTGTAGATTTTTTGCTGGAGTGCTTTGCTGGAGTCTTTTTTATGGCCTCATAAATTAGTTAATTTAGCCTCCCCACACTTTAAGGTGGTACCTAATTTTCCTACTTGACAGATGCAACTGTCTTTCGAGTTGCAAAGGTCGACAACAGGCTACACAATTGGTTGGAAACCCACTCCAACCCGGGCTGGCTTCGAACCTTTTGGTCAGAGTGATCTTAATGCAGCTGACATATCTCAAGAGAGATATTGACAAGCTGGAATGTGTCCAGAGGAGGGCGACTAAAATGATCAAGGGTCTGGAGAACAAGCCCTATGAGGAGCGGCTTAGGGAACTGGGCATGTTTAGCCTGAAGAAGAGAAGGCTGAGAGGAGCTATGATAGCCATGTATAAATATGTTAGAGGAAGCCACAGGGAGGAGGGAGCAAGCTTGTTTTCTGCTTCCTTGGAGACTAGGACGCGGAACAATGGCTTCACACTACAAGAGAGGAGATTCCATCTGAACATTAGGAAGAGCCGTTCAGCAGTGGAACTCTCTGCCCCGGAGTGTGGTGGAGGCTCCTTCTTTGGAAGCTTTTAAACAGAGGCTGGATGGCCATCTGTCAGGGGTGATTTGAATGCAATATTCCCGCTTCTTGGCAGGGGGTTGGACTGGATGGCCCATGAGGTCTCTTCCAACTCTTTGATTCTATGAATATTGCATTCAAATCACCCCTGACAGGTGGCCATCCAGCCTCTGTTTAAAAGCTTCCAAAAAAGCTCCCTCCACCACACTCCGGGGCAGAGAGTTCCAATGCTGAACGGCTCTCACTCCGAAATGACTTCCCTGCAGGTGTTGGCTATTTGTTTGAATTCTTCTTTGTAGTAGCAGGGGCTTCTGTAAGGAGGGGTGCCTGGCCGTCCCATCCCCTGCGAGAGGGAGGGGCGGGGAGAGGCATACCCCTTGCCTCCAGGCGTTGCTTGGGGGAGGCGACTGACCACCCCAAAGCCCCTCCCCAAGCCGGCGATTGGCTAGCTGGGCCGGAGTATACAAAAAGCACATGGGCGCCGGCATGGCTCAAGTTTTGGGCGGAGAGGAGAGGAGCGATGATGGGCCCGGCTTTCGACCGGTGGAGGGACTACCTCCAGTTGGCCCAAGTGGTGGAGGAGCTGCGGAGGAGGCCCCCTTCGGAGCAGGAACAAGAAGAGAGGCAGCCCCCCTGCTCCTCCTCCTCGTCTTCTTCCTCCTCCACGGTGTGTTGCTCCTTCTGCAAGCAGAACGGCGAGTCCCAGCGGATCTACACCTCTCACCGGCTGAAGGACGAGGCCGGGGACGTCCAGTGCCCCATCCTGAGAGGGTACACCTGCCCGCAGTGCGGGGCCACCGGGGAGAAGGCCCACACCCGCCGCTTCTGCCCCCAGACCCACAAGGGCTACGTCTCTGTTTACACTAGCAACATCCGCAACTCCGCCGGGAAGAAGAAAAACACGAAGAAGGAGGTGCTACCCAAGGCTGCCCTGGGAAGGAAAGAACTGGCGTGGAAATCCCTTCCAGACCAACCACTCTCTTTCTCTCCTAGACTTAGAAGCAGCACCAAGAATGGGTTCTCTTGCAGAGGTTCTTCTGACCTGCTGGTAAGCATTCACCACCAATGGGCAAACTTGGCTTCAACTCCCACAATTGTAAGTGGTCAGAGAGGTTAAGCCAGGCCTGGGCAAACTTGGGCCCTCCAGAGGTTTTGGACTTCAACTCCCACAATTCCTAACAGCCTACCGGCTGTTAGGAATTGTGGGAGTTGAAGTCCAAAACCTCTGGAGGGCCCAAGTTTGCCCAGGCCTGGCTTAACCTCTCTGACCACTTACAACCTCACATTATTTTGATCCTTGTAATGTGAAGAAGTAAGCCTTCCACACAGCCATACAACCCAGAATATCAAGGCAGATAATCCACAATATCTGCTTTGAACTGGATTATATGCACTGCCATATAACCCAGTTCAAAGCAGAACATGTGGGATTTTATACAGAGGGTGTGGAAGAGGGGCCCAAGAGAGTTGTTGGAAAGGCAGTCCATTGCAATCCAGGGTATATTTGGGGAGGAATTCTTTGGCCCCCGCCAAAGAATTCTGCCCTACTTCCATGAAAACTTCAGTGCAAGACTCTAGCCTTGGAAGAGAGTGGGGCCCATTCCACACAGCTGGATAAAATCCCACATTATCTGCTTTGAACTGGAAAATATGCCAGCGTGAACTCGGATAACCCAGTTCAAAGCAGATATTGTCTGCCTTAATATTTTGGGGTTGTATGGCTGTGTGGAAGGGTCCTCAGTAATTGGGAATAACACTATGGTCTTACCTACACTGCCATATAAAATCTAGATTATCTGCTTTGAACTGGAATATATGGCAATGTAGACTCATATAATCCAGTTCAAACCAGATAATCTGGATCATTTGATTTGATAATCTGTGTAGATCCAGCCTATATAACACTTTTTTGTTCTTGGGTACTTCCTAATTGGACACCCCCCCCCCCCCCCGAGGTGCAGTGGGTTAAAGCACTGAGCTACTAGACTTGCTGACCAAAAGATTGGCAGTTCAAATCTGGTGAGCGGGGTGAACTCCTGCTGTTAGCCCCAGCTTCTGCCAACATGCAAATGTGAGATCAATAGGTACCACTCCGCCAGGAAGGTTTCCACAATGAGAGAGGAGAGTGCTCCATGCAGTCATGCTGGCAAGATGACCTTGGAGGTGTCTACTGACAACACCAGCTCTTTGTCTTAGAAATGGAGATGAGCACCCCACCTCACCCCCCAGTCAAACATGACTAGATTTAATGTCAAGGGGAAACCTTTATCTTTACTTCCTAATTAGTTCTATCTTTTACAGGCTCATTTGGGGGGGGGGGCTTGAGGGGCTTCAGCCCCCCCCCCCCAAATTCTCAGGGTGGTCCGCGAGAAGGCCTTAGTGGTACATTATTCAAACTGTTATGTTTATTCATATCATGATCTGATCGCCATGCTCAATATATCCCATATGCATGGGGATAGTGGGATAACGATACAAAAGGTTTGCTAGGGTAGATCCTGAGCCCCCCCCCCCCAATCAAACTCAGCCCACCCACCCCGAATCAAAATCCTGGCTACAAGCCTGATCCTTTTAAAAACATGGAAAAAATTTGTTGAACTGCAAAAACTTTGCTGTAGCTCATTTTGCAATAGTTTTTCAACTAATATCTCTTAGGCCCCTTCCCTATAGCTGAATAAAATCCCACATTATCTGCTTTGAACTGGAATATATGGCAGTGTGGACTCAGAAACCCAGTTCAAAGCAGATATTGTGGATATTCTGGGTTATATGGCTGTGTGGAAGAAGGGCCCATAGCCGCAGCCCATTCAACATAGTTTGTGGTAGCCACAAAACCAAAGTTTCTGGAGTATAACAACTACTATCAAGAAAGCATTGCACAGTTAAAAGGAAATAATACTTTTTAACCAGGAACAGTTTTTTTCCCCAAAAATTTGTTACATATTACAAATCTCGTCCTTTTGCCTGGCTCTTAAACTGCCTCTCTGAATAGCCAACTTAAGGCTGAACCTGCATTGCTCTATAATACAGTTTCAGAATGCAGATAACCTGCACCAAACCGGATTATTTTGCAATGTAGCTTCATACAATCCAGTTCAATGCAGTTTTTAAAAATGTTTTTGTTATTATAAAATGCAGTTGATCTGTATTACACTATGTATAACACTGTAACACAATTTTTGTTCCTGTGTAATAAATGTCATCTCCCAATTGGTTCTATCATAAAAGCATGGGAAAAGTTTATTAAACTGCAAAAACTTTTTTTTTTTTGCGGGACATCCGGTAGCACATTGTGCTCTAGTTTTTCAAAGAGTGTCTCATAGTGTCTTATTAGATGATGGGACTCTTAGGCCCCTTCTACGTGGTCAGATAATCCAGGTTATCAAAACAGAAAATCCACATCTGATTTGATTATCTGAGTCTACACTGCCATATACTCAAGTTCAATGTGGATTTTATATAGCTGTATAGAAGCGGCCTTAGTCCAACATTTGGAGGACTAATCTTCCCACTTTTGCCATTTTTATTAGGCAGGGGCAATCCATGGTTCTAAATGTTTCTTACAAAATTTCATTATTATTTCTTTATTGGCGATTTTTATGACAGGACCAATTAGGAACTGCCATTTATAATGAAATTTGAAAGTTTTGTTAGAGTTCTGAAATTTTCACCACCAGAACTTGAGCAACACTCTAGAAGCAAAGCACCAGCGCCCTCTAGTTTTGTAAGTAATTTAGAACCATGGATTGCCCATACCTCATTTTTATGCACATCTCTGCTGTCACCTTAATTTCAAGCCATCAATTCACAACATACTTGCAAGAATCATCTGGCTCTTTCTGGGAGCTTTGTCGGTTGAGGAACGACAGCAAAATAGAAATGTGTGTTAAAAAGAGTTAAAATTTCTATGCAAATAAGTAGTCTGACAGACTGAATGGTATTGAGGTACTGTGAATTTATCATTTTCTTTATCTCCACAGTTTGACACATCTAACATTCCTCCTGAAGTCTGAGAAGATTCTGGATCTAATAACTCACCCATATTCGTTGATGCAGAGAACTCAAATGGTTCAAAGAAAACATGGAGGCATGGGCCTGAATTTTTGAAATACATGTGGCCCATTATAGGTGATGCCTGCAATGAATTCTCTCAGCATTTGCACAGTCAATGCACTTCAAACTATTATAGGTTTTTAATCAACTGCTCTTCTTCCTGGAACAGTGCCACATTCCAGTTGGCTACAATGTTTGCCTCAGTATTTGTCTCAGTCCCATATTCCAAACTACTAATGCAAATCCCACTTTATTATTGTTAACTATGTTTTAAATACCCCTTCGTTTCAGAAGTGGCAATTTTGTTGTTTCTTGTTATCGTTTATGTTATTTATTTGTTATATATGGTTAATATTATTTATTTTTTCTTTTGTTGTTGTTATTTGTTATATCAAAACTACTATGACTGTTTGAATACTAAATACAGAGTATTTTTTCTTTTAAAATTGACAAATGTAGTTGTTTTTCATGAGGGCAAATTAATCCTATATGAAGCGTTATACTGTTGAAGAAATATAGTAAAGATTACAAAACACAGAAGAATGTTATTTAAAAAATAGCAAACGAACAAAATGCACAATGGAAGTATAAAAAAAATTGTCGTGTCAGGAGCGACTGGAGAAACTGCAAGTCGCTTCTGCTGTGAGAGAATTGGCTGTCTGCAAAGACATTGCCCAGGGGACGCATGGATGATTTGATGTTTTTATCATCCTTATGGGAGGCTTTTCTCATGTCCCCGCATGAGGAGCTGGAGCTGATAGAGAGAGCTCACCCCAGATTCGAACCTGTGCCTGTTGGTCTTCAGTCCTGCCGGCACAGGGGTTTAACCCACTGCGCCACCGGGGGCTCCAATGTAAGTAAATGAATACCATTAAGACATCAGATTCCATCTGATCTTGGAACTAAGCAGGGACAGCCCTGGTTAGTACTTGGATGGGCAGCCACCTAAGAATCCTAGCTGCTCTAACAGGCGTGGGCAAGCTTTGGCCCTCCAGGTCTTTTGGACTTCAACTCTTACAATTCCTGTTAGGAATTATGGGAGTTGAAGTCCAAAACACCTGGAGGTCTGAGGTTTGACCATGCCTGTGCTATAAGTTATGTTTCAGAAGAAGGAACTGACCCTAAGAAAACTGAAATTCGTGGAGTTGCCATAGATAGACAGGCCACAAACACACATACACATTGTATTGATTTAAGTTTGAAAAAAAGTACATGCTTAACTACGCCATTGGAATCCTTGGTATTTAATGACATTCAGCTCTTGGCTATTTTGTTCAAATATAACATTTTGATTCCCAAAACTTGGTTCATTTGTAAACAAAACAGTTAAACTAGTACTCCATATTTGAATATTACATACAGTGAAACAGACTATGAAACAGAAGGTTTGTTTTTCTGTTTGTACTCTAAAGATACGTTTGACCCAATAAAGGTAAATTGCAGTTAAATACATCAACATATAGGACAACTATTTGCTCCTGTGAGAGGAATTCACAGCAATGGACAATTTATACTCAGAACTAAGACATTTTAAGGTAGGAGTAGGGACTGTTCCTCTTACATCAAGCTACATAAGCAGTCTGTCACGACTGGAAACCAGAAGTGTGACATTTTTGTTTTAGTTTTGGATTTTTAAATATATTTTATGGTTTTAGGGAAACATAGAAGCAAAAAAATCATGTTTTTGCATTAGTTTTGAGCTAATGGGGGAAGCAAAACCATCAAGAGTGAATGTATTGTCGAAGGCTTTCATGGCCGGAATCACTGGTTTGTTGTAGGTTTTTTTTTTTGGGCTATATGGCCATGTTCTAGAGGCATTCTCTCCTGACGTTTCGCCTGCATCTCATGCTTGCCATAGATGCAGGCGAAACGTCAGGAGAGAATGCCTCTAGAACATGGCCATACAGCCCGAAAAAACCTACAACAACCCGTCAAGAGTGAATTTTTAAAAAGTAGGTCTTGTAGGTTTTGAATATGCAAGATGAGGTTTTAAGAGCTATACAGAGACTCCAAGTTGTCTTTCCCACTCCCCTCTTTTAAATGTGAGGTATATGAGCCTGCTTGAGATGTACAGTAAAAAGGGAGGAATGTTTTAAAATAGCAACAATTCAGAGTTGTATATCTCGCCTGAATCTCCTTTACATTCTTAGTTGGTAGAACATTGAAACCACTGTGATTAAATACAAAATGTGCGCCACACCTGCCCTGCTAAATACAACCGAAAAAAACAGCACAATAAGTGACCAACTTCTTTCGAGCATTAAAACAAACAGTGACATTCAAAAGCTACAGCTCTCTCTTCTTTCTCACTGTACTAAGTGTACTTGTCATATTGTTTGCACCGTGAGGCAGAAGCTTATTAGATTGTCTATTTCTCCGGAACTTCAGTCTCTTGAAGGAATCCAAATCTCTGTGCATACTCATGGTCAGCCGACTGGAAAGAAAGAACAATTGATGACTAATGAACGGTGGGGTCTTCATTCCCCTTCCTTAACATCCCAGCACCAGATACTCAAGAAGTAAAGTCTGACAAAATCACTTTGGTCCAAAACAAAGCAAGAGATTTTCATTAATTAATTGATACAAGTAGGAGGTCTCTTATCTTGCTACTTCAGATGTTTTGAATACCACTCAGCTGCTGAATCTTTTACTGAGTTAGGAATACCTTTTCTCATCATTCCTGAGGTTCCCACACTTGAGCTGTGGCTCTCAAGCATCTTGATAGCTCATATAAGGCACAAGTTCTTCTCAGGTTGGCTCTACTTTGCCATGTAATCCAGATTTTCAAATCAGATAATCCAGATTATCTGCTTTGAACTCGATTATATATAATGAGTCTACACTGCCATATCATCCAGTTCAAATCAAATAATCTGGATTATATGCGGCAGTGTAGAAGGAGCCTCAGTCAGTCATTAGATAGATGTGGCATATCTTGCCTTGAGATACAAAAACTGGAAGCCATGACCTTAAATCAGGGGTCACCAATCTTTTTGAATCAAGAGGGCACAGTTGGAATTAACTTCTCCAAGAACATGTAGCAGGTAGATCTGAAATTCTGAAAATAAATTCACTTCTCAACTCACTCCCCAACTAATACAGGGTGCAGCAGCATAACTTCCTTTTTTCAAAACTTCATAAAACCCATTGTATGAATCAGAATGTATGTTTTTTTTTTAATCCCGTGTTTATGTGAACCGTCCAAGGACCCTACAAGATATTAAGACCAACATCCAGGAAGAAATTGCCAACGTAATGCCTGCTATGCTGGCATGAGTCATGACAAACACCAGAAATCGGTTTACTCTCTGTATGGAGAATGGGGGACGTCACCTACTTAATTTGATCTCCATAAAACAAAACTTTAGGGATGCGCCTACATTATAAAAAAAATCTGATTCATACAATGGGTTTTATTAAGTTTTGAAAAAAGAAAGTTATGCTGCTGCACCCTGTACAAGGTTGAGTGCTCTGAAAACACATCAATAAACTCAGAATCATCCTCCCAAAGGTGCCCCCCTCCTCGCTTTTTAAATTCCATCCTACATCCCAAGCACACAAAATTCTCCTATTTCTGAGGATTATTCTTTATTTGCTGTCCTGATTTTAGAGTCCCCTGGGCAATGTCTCTGTAGACAGCCGATTCTCTCACACCAGAACTGACTTGCAGTATATTCTCAATTTGCTTTGGATACAATAAAAAAGCTGCATGGGATATGGTAGACTCCTGCAGAGGTGAGAAGATCTCTCTTGTCCTTTGCTGAACAGTAGCATTTGGTGGATTTTCTTAAGTGGATTTGTAGGTAGTTTGTATGTTGTGTTTCTTCATCAGCATCCCTATGTGGTCAGTGGTTTCCTTGATGTATGGTAACACTTTTCCTCTGAGTGGAAAATGAACACAATCCTCTAAAATCAGGACAGTAAATAAAGAACAATATTCAAGATTCCCCAGGCAGGAAGCAGCCAGGCTTTGAAGCCACAAGGCTATTCAATGCTAATCAAGGTGGCCAATTGCAACATTCACACTTGCCTCCAACAGACAAGAGTTCATTCTCTCACCTTGGGCATTCCACAGATATATAAACCCCACTTGCCTAGTTTCCAAAGACCTCACAACTTCTGAGGATGCCTGCCATAGATGTGGGGGAAACGTCAGGAGAGAATACTTCTGGAACAATGGCCATACAGCCTGGAAAACTCAGAGCAACCCAGTAATATCACTAGTTAGCCCAGTGAAAGCATCAGAATAGGATGGATTTGGATTCTTTTTAATGCAGTTGGAGAGCCTTCCTTCCTAACTTTTTTTAAATGGCTGAAGATTCTAAGATCTTTATCAAACTACAGCTGTCAGGTGGACATGTCCATAAATAAGGTTTATCGGGTAGCATGATGGCATTAGATTTCAGGTGGATTTTAGGATTGTTTTTATATATCTTTTCATAGGTTTTAGAGTATTTTCATGTGATTTAAAATGTTTTTATTTTTGTGTTGTTTTAATTGGTTTTTATTTGTTCGTCACCACCTGAGCCCTTGTGTGCTGGAAGGCAATACAGAAATATTTTAAGTAAATAAATACATGCTTTCTTCATGCTGGTAATATTTGTACAAAATATAGCACTTTTTCTTATCTTTTTTCTAAATACTCAAACCAATATTTATGTACTTTTTCCAGCTCTAGGATAATAGTATTGAGTTGGAGTGACTAGAACCATTGACTGCATTACAAATATGGCTATGCCAGAGATCTGTAGTTACAATGCATTATTCTTAATGACAGTTCTCCCCAATCAGGATCAGGAACCATTTCCATCATTCTTCAGCCAAAAAGGAAGTTGAAGTAGCAGGACACCGTCTATTTATTTATTAGTGGCATTATTATATTTTCAAAGTTTAATAAAATTATTTTCTCTGCATTTCTTTTCTGTCTGTTATTATTCATTTTATGACTATTACTGAAAATAATATTGTAGAGAGGAGGGGGTGTTAAAATTATCTGAATCAGGATTCAAATAGGGCACTGAAAATACTATCTAACTAAACTTAACACCCACTGTCATTCAATGGACTTATGATATGCAAATCTCTTCAAGCATCCCCCCTAATCAGTATTTTTTCAACCATTCCATTCTCTCTCTCCTCCCAACAGCTCCTTAACTTACATTTAGTTCCACAACCACTACATTAATATTTCCCGATATAGATCCATGACATCACACATGTCCATACCTATGAAGCCATGACCTTTTTTTTACTGATATTCTACAGTAGTTATTCCGAAAATTTAGTCCTCCAGATGTTTGTAACATCTTTCAGAAACCTCAGTTGCCTTGGCCAGTGATCAGAGATTTTCAGAGCTCAAGTCCAAAGAATATGGAATACCAGAGTTTAGGAAACAATATCCTACAGCAAATACTTTATTGGTAGTGCAGCTATGAAATTCTCTGGAAGTGACTGTTCCTAATGTAAGAAGTTGTAAGCTAATGAAGTTTGTTTATGAAACTGAATGTATGTACTTACTTGAGGTTAGAGAGCT